GGTGTGAGCTGGAGCCCCTCCTCAGCGGCAGGGGTGTGGTGGTGTGAGCTGGAGCACCTCCTCAGCGGCAGGGGTGTGGCGGTATGAGCTGGAGCCCCTCCTCAGCAGCAGGGGTGCGGCGGTGTGAGCTGGAGCCCCTCCTCAGCACTCACAGAGTGAAGGTAACTCACAAGCTTTAGGTCATCAGTATTGTCCAACCTGAAGGCATGAAAATCAAGTATTCTCTGGAACTTGGAAGAGAAGATTCAGGAATAAGTTGAAAGGCACTGAGACGGTGTTGAAATGACAGTAGTAATTACAACCTTGGGAAACTAGCACTAGAATTAGCTGTTTATAATCAGTAGGGAGACATGTTTTCACTCTGATACATTAGCAAAGTGTTGTGTGTCACTTGGGAAGAAGTTCTCCACTGGTGCACTTGTATAGGAAGGCACTTTGTGCAGCACAATACAAGGTTTTTAAACAATGTGTTGGGTGTTTTGGTTTTCTCTTTTGTTTGGAATCTTTAGAAGAAAAAGTACTTTTTTTTTTTAAAATTACACTTATGATATTCATTAATTACACTCATGATATTAATCATATTTGTGGTATTCATAGATTACATTCGCAGTATGTATATATGTATAAAATTTATATATAATATATATTAATTTTAAATGCCAAATGTCATTTATTGAAGGAGGGAAGAGGTCTTAAATACACGCTTACAGCACAATGGGAGAACCCCAGAGGGCTACTGATGTTTTACAGTCTTGCATCTAAGCTGTTAACACCCATTATTCAGGATACACAGACAAGGAACTTCCCTTTAGCATTCAGGAGGGTGGAGCCTGGCAGAGAATTAGCATAGGGAGGATATCAAGGTCAAGGTCAGCAAGCAAGGCAACAGTTACCCAAAACGGGGGTCAGGGCCCTATAGGTCCCCCTTTTACTAGAAAATGAGCTTCTGACTTGGGTTACGTGAGACGTCAGCAAGTTACCTTACCCGTCATGGAGACGCCTGCCCAGGCCACACAGGTGCTCTGTCTTAGGTTGGTGAGTGCCCCCCATGCATTACCCATCTCTGAATACTCATTATCATACAGGCTCAATCGTGCGTGAACTGCATGGTTAATTGCTGCCAAAGAACTCAAAGTGGCACTGGGCTTGCAATCTGTGTGTTCAACACAAAAAAGACCCACAGAGGTCCTATCCCTCCCATAGCCAGTAGGCTAAAGGCAACTGAGCCATTCCCTTCCTTAACGAGCCATACTGTTCATTGGAGTCCTTGTAAGATAGTATCCCCAAAGCAACTGGAGCTTGAGTTTATAAATTTGTAATTTTCAAAGCCAATCGAGATGTATATAACTACTGAATTAAATTTATCATGCCCAATAGAATGGAAGATTAACTGTGGTAGCTACTTTTGTTGCCAGGGTCTCCACTGTGCTAGCTGTAGTAAGCAATTATGAAATGGTAATCCCAGAAACAGTAGCAGCAGTGGCCGCCATTGCTATAACAGCAACAGCGGCAACAGCAATGTCAAATTCTCTTCTTGAGAGTGTGGACATCCACTGGCATGGATACAACTCCAGTAACACTAACCACCAAGGCCCATTTTTCTTGATCCCAGCATGACTTTAGCTGGCAGCTCTTCTGGAGAATCCAATCTCATGGCTACAGTTCCTAGGCTTACATTAATGCTTGCCAAAGCTGGCCATATTGGGCTCTCAATCCCCATTGGCATCAGAAGGGTAGAGTTTTTCATGAAGATCCATTAGGTCTCTGTCATGTTGGGCTTCAGCAGCAGCCACAGGGCACATTCAGTGCTCAGGAATCCAAAGAGGAACCTCATTGTCCTGAGGTTAGAACCCTGGGGCCACACCAACACTGGATCGGGTCTCCTCCACGTTCTAGTAGAAAGATCCTTCCATCGCTCCAGAGGGTGATTTGCAACAGGAGCCCTCCAGTGCTTATCTGCATCGGATCCTCCAGTAGAATCCACCAATAAAAAGTTTAAAATATATAAAACAAGGGAAAGAATAGGATGTGGAGAGGAATGATGAGTCCCTAGTTCTCCCTTTTTTTACTTTAGTAAAATGTTTGTTTGTTTAATATTTCAAATTTTTCTTTTATTTTTATTTATTTTTTATTGTTTAAAATTAATTAATTTTTCTATTATCAGCTTGATACAGTATGTATTCTTATCTTAATAGTGAGATGTTTCCTTGAGGCTTGCTCAGGAATTGAGTAAAACCGAAATTTATTATAAGCCACAGTCATCCTAGGGTCCCCCCTGCCATATAGCCTCCCTGGTTCTGTGGGTTGCAGGCTGATTGTTCTTTATTTTATATCTAGAATCCACTTATGAGTGAGTACATACCATGATTGTCTTTCTGGGTTTGGGTTACCTCACTCAGGATGATTTTTTTCTAGTTCCATCCATTTGCCTGCAAATTTCATGCTGTCATTGTTTTTCTCTGCTGAGTAGTATGAAAAAGTACGTTTTTAAAGAACTTATTACTAGCACAATGAGTGCATTCCAGTTTTTTATTTGTGTGTGCGAGCGCACGTGCCATGGTACGTGTGTGAATGTTGGAGAATGCCTTGCGGGGGTTGATTTTCTCCGTCCATCCTTTGCAGGTCCCAGAGACTGAGCTCAGGTTTTCAGGTTCAGCAGCAAACACCTTTCCCACTGAGCCGTCTCCACGACCCCT